CTCGATTTTACTCTTTGGTTCCGTACGAACTCATCCGAACTCGAAATCGAGTTCCGCTTTTTCCTGTGTGTAGCTAACAAGCTCCTCTTTCCATTAATGTTATCATGCTCAATAACTTTCCAAAATCCTGCTCTTCCGAGATTTTCGACCGTTCCTTTATTTTACAAATACTCGAAAAATACAAGAAAAATATACAAAATTCCACACAAATACTTAAATATTACAATTTACTAAATAAAACTAAAAACTACCCAAAATCCCACAAACTTACTAAAAATACATAAAAATAATAATAAAAAACATTAATAAAAACATAACAAAAATAACACTAACAATTGGGAGAACCCATAACTGCAGCACCCACCTTGCACAACTTCGCTGTTCAGTTTTTTCGGAGAGTCGCGATCACGACCATCATCTTCCATTCTCGGCGAGCTCAACGTCAGTTCGCAGTCCCGTCGCCATAACTAGCTCAAGGATCGATTGTTAACGTGGTCACAATTCGTAATTCTATGTCCGATTGGCCAATTAAAGCTTTAGATATATTTTTCATAATTATTTTCTTCATAAAGTTATTAATTGTCACTTGAGAATCAAAAATGAAAAGAGTATTATATTAACCTGTATAATTCTTTTGATATGAATTTATACACGCAACGCAACACATGTCATCCATGAGTGAAAGGAGTTCTTATACTAATTTAATGAACAAACTTAAAATCTTGTTAGCGTTCAGCCCCTCACGGCGGGTCAGCCCTTCACGGCGGTTTTCTTTTTCCAACCAGCAGCGGTCAGCGAGAGGAGAAGCCGTCGGCCCTCGTTTTCTTTTTCTAGAGAGAGCAGGCTGCCTGTTTTCTTTCCGACGAGAAAAATAGCAGCAGGAGACTTATTTTCATGTCCCGACTTCAGGTGCCCCGTCGGCCCTCGTTAAGCGAGCCGAGCATTAGCGAAAGTGCATTCTAGAAAGCACGAGAAGAGGAGAAGCCGTTCGTGGCATTTATTTATTATTTCGAGGCCTCGAGCATTGATATTGAGAAGCTCGAGTTCGAGGGTGCATATTAATAAAATAAATGAAAAAACCGTTTACGTGGGTCCCGCAAGGTCGCGTGTGACTTCGGTTTACTAAGAATCGAGTTGGGACGTGTAGATAATTTAGGCATGATGTCATGCGGGACATTTATCGAGTATTTCGGAGCTCCGAGCATTAGTAGAAAAATGAGCTAAAATGTCGAGGTCGAGTTCGAGCGTTCAAGGTTTCGAAACAACAAAACAACAACTACAAATAACATCCAAAAGATAAAGACATACACTGGATAAAAATATTACCAATACCAGTATCACCAACATGAAATGTCCACAATGCAATCCACAAGAGCAAACATCTACAATGCAATCCACATGAGCAAACACATTAATTCTACATTTTCTAACACACCAGGATGGGGCAGACAATACACATATTCCCGGAACAGATTGTTTTATTGGGCTAAATTTTCTAAAAGAGGCATAAACACAAACTACTTATGAACCTTCTCGACTTGAAGGAGACCATCATATCACTAAAGTTCCTCCGATCCACCTCTAATCGAATCGTTACCTACAAGAAAATTATAACATTATCAATAGTGAGTATATGAAGAGAAAAAGTAAAGGTTAACATTGATTTACCTAGTCATGCTGCTAACAAGTCTCTAGTCGCTTGCACTAAGGTAGACTCACATATATTTGTGCGGGAAGTTGGCCTAGTCTTTGAAGTCGTTTTTTGTTTATGTGAGGGATTTTATATTGATTTCTTCCTTCTAATTTCATGATTTCTTTCATACATAATTGCAATGTCAGCCACACACAATTGAGCTTGATCGGTGAATAGTCAGAGAATGTCTTCTCTACCGCACTTACAAGCTCAGAGATATTCCTTGCACACATTTTTTGTTGTAGCGACTGTATAGCCCTAAAATACCCAAGGTCAAGTATATTTAAATCTGGAGAATTAGGTGGTTGGCAAGTTAGTCGAATGTCAAAGCCATTTTGTGAAGCTGCTGCTACAAAATCCGGGTCATTAGGAAGAACGTGCGTCCTAGCATTGTCTTGTTGGACATAAATAGTTTTGCCATAATCGGAGCTAGGCCATTTCTCAATAATAGATGGGATAACTTTTTCAATCAAAAACGCTTTCACATTCTCCCTTTTAACAGATGTGATCGCCTTCATCTCCATTGTGCCAGCTTGTCTGTTTTTGCTATTTCTCTGGGCTGGTTGCTCTGTCACAAATGCCCAACATCCAACTTTGCCTGAAAATACCACCCTTCCTTCACCATCAAATCTCGGACGAGCCGTGACTGCTAGAAACATGACTTTCGCAATGTTATTTTTACTTTGGCATGACCGATGAGGATCTTCTTCACTATCGAGTAGATAATACGTTTGCTCCTTCTTTGTCATGTAAAACCATTTCTCGTCGATATGGACATAGTTATACATGTCCTTGAACTTTGGCTCGTTCGACGTCGTGCTTTCATCAAGCATCGATAAACAAAATTCCAGCCGCGATATTTTATTTTCGTCTTTCAAATGTGGTTTGATAGCACTTGAGTGACGACGTAGAACACCTCGGTTAAAAAGTGTATACAGTTTGGAGTAACTAACTCCCAAAGCATTAGAAAGAGATGTAAGTGTTGTTCGTTGATGCCACTCTATCTGTTGAATCCTACTTAAATCTACCTCAATTCGTTTACGACCACAATTCCGTGCCTTTCTCGACGAAACATCCACATCTGAGCCTGGTGAAGTTCTCTTGTGAATTTTCCATATTCTTTGTACTGTTCGCAGCTCAATATCGAACATATCTTTCACTTCTTTTGTTGTGTTATTTTTTTAATTTACCATTTACGCTTTTCTCCAACAAAGCATGGTAAACTGCCCACCGTTCAACGTCGGTTAGAATTCTATTCTTTCTCCTTTGAACATTTCCTGTTAAAAAAGTGGTACCAAAATTTAATATAGAGAACCAATCAATGAAACTAGATATGGTTTAAAGTTTAGAAGTCAAGTAAAATAGACAATTGTAAATTTAATTACTTGACATCAAAGTAGTTGACGTTTCTATTTACTTATATTGCAATCTCAAATTGTAGCACATAACTAACAACAAATATATCCCAAAGTTTTGCTTAAAAATCTTGCACACATTGAGCAATAATATTAGAGTAATTTGGAGAAAATGACAACACCAAACAAGCAAAATCCATTTCTGTATCTCTTCTATTCATGACCAACATTAAAACCTCAAAACATTAAAATCCATTTTATGTAACTCTTCTATTCATGACTAATAACTATTTATAGTATTCAGCTTGCAGTATTCTTATTTCTCAATATAATAAGATTATCAAGTAAAATCAGGCTAGCCAAAAAATAGGTATCAAAAGATGATGAAAAATTAATAACAACTCAAATAAAGTGCATTCAACAAACTTAATGCAGAGTACGTACTGTACAAAAGAAATGCCTGAAGCCAAAGGAATTAACACAAACTCACCTTGGCTTGTTTCCCCTTCTCCACCATTTGCTTGTTGGCCAATTATATCTTCCACAGATGAATCAGATCTCGCTTCGTCATCATCTTCGAATAACTGATTTAAGTCGAGCTTGATAACAGGGTATCCTATTTCTGGACTTTCGTCAACATTGAGGTTGATTATAATTTTCTGCGAAGATCTTGGCACTGTATCTTCTACGTCATATGGAGGTTCGTTCAAATCGATCAGAATATTTGAAGCCATTGCAATTTTATTTTTTTTTTATTCAAAAAGTGTGGTGTAATCAAATTATTCATATCCATATTTATAGATCTTTTTAGATGTTTCACAAAATTTGAAATGTTGAGTGGGAATTTTGATTTTACCTCCTGTCGAAATTTTGGCTCCAAAAAATGAAAGCTTAAGAAATGAATTTCTACACAATTTGAAGAAAGACGTGGAACGGTGGAAGCTGATGGGTTTTCATCTTAAAAGCTTTTTTTTTCTCTTTTATTTTTGTTACTTTTTTCTTTGTGTTTGATCCACGCATTCCAAGCATTTTTATGTTTGTCTTACTTTTTTTCCTTTTCTTCCACAGAATCTTCATTTACTTTTTACTAATCATCATTAATTGTGTTACTTAATGGAGTTATAGACAAATTTATAGTTTTCATTCAATAGGATAATATTGGTAAAAAAAAGTTCTTAATTAGAGTGCTAGTTCTCAAAACGACAAATAAAAAAGATAGGAGGGAGTATTAAATTAAAAAACATATCCACCTTATGAAAATTTGAGAAACATTATTTGTCTAAATTAATAAAACAAAGTAGTTCTAGTTTGAATTTGCAGTTATTTAACACATTAATTCTAAAAGTGTAGTTTATATATGCATAGCATGTATAGATAATAGATTGAATCTATTAATTATGAAAATATTCTTTAGAAAATGAGAGTATTCTAAAAATTTGCTAAAAAAATCAAACCAATATTGTTTTACAAATATTGTATGAATTATTAATCTATAGTAAATTATTATATTTGTTTAAATCGAATATAAAATCGAAGATAGTCTGTCTAATTGGTAGTATTTTGTCCTACCAATTGTTTAGGGCATCCACATCCATTTAACACATATACCATTCATTCAATCAAAAAGTAACACTCTCGCTCATCCACATCATCTTTTCACTAAATCTCTCTCTATTTAAACACACACCCACATTCATACACATTCATTTAAATACATATGTGGGATTATCCACTCATTTAATATAATTTTTATATTTTATTCTCAATTAAAATAAAAATTTAATATTTTTAAATTATAATAATAAATTTTAAATACACAAAAATAAAATAACACTACAAGTTCAAAATAACTTAAATTAAATTTATTTTTTTTAGTTGTTGGCAAAAAATGTGAATATGAAATGTAAATTATTGATACATATTGAAAAGTGTGATAAATAAAATTTGTATTTATCTATATTGAAAAGTGTGATATAGATAAAAAAAAATAAATAAAATATAAAAAAAAAGAAAAAATAAATAATTATTTCCAAAACAAAAAAAAAAGAAAAAGAAAAAAGCATGCTTGCGCGTTGAATGAAATAAGATTTTAAAACAAAAAATAAAAAATAAAAATAAATAAAAAAGGAATGAACGAGCGTTCAATCCACTGAACCGTAAAGTGGCGCCCTCCTTTAATGAACGTACCGCATCCGGATGAACGAAGGGGTGTCGTTTAAATGCATATGAAAAAACGGGCGTTGTGGATGCCCTTACTTCTTCAATAACTTTGACAACTTCTTAAAATACAAGTGGCTATATAATATGGAAAGAGATTTTTTTTTTTTTTTTGGATTGTAGTTTACATAAGAGTTGGATGGGAATGGGATCAATGTGCATAAGTATAACTAGAGAGTAAATCTTGCAATCTCTGTCCTCTCTCTCTCCAATTATTTTTCCTTTGAGAAACATCAAACTCACTAAACAAGTAGCAGTGTTATTTCCCCTTTTCAACTTGCTAAACCAAACATAGCACACAAAACACACCACAATACCAAGAAATTAGAACAGAGCTTTCATATAAAACAAAACAAAGGGAAAAGAAAGATAAAAATGGTACTTTCCCCAACAAACAAGCCCTCTGTCTCCAAAATTAATGACCCTTTACTCCATCATCAACAACAATTTCGATAACAATTATAACAATAAACTCTGGGCTCTCTTTTGATTTTCGATCTTTTGTTTTTTTCCCCGTTATGGATTTTGGTTTGGTGGACACGAGCTCTGCACCCTCATCAGCTCCCAACAATGGCGGCGGCTTGTTTGGCCTGGACATTACCAACGGAGCCGACGAGGCTTGTAATAACATGGAGAGATTTTGCAGATTAGGGCTTTCGAAGCGAGACAGGGCTGTGAATGTAAACAAGGATGATTTCAGGGACTTTAAGAAAACTTCGAAGATTTCTTCAGTACAGAGATCCGACGGCTGTGATTTAGCCGATGACCATCAGCAAATGCTGAGCTTCTCGTCCCCGAGCTCTCAGACGTCAAGCGGCTTTAGTAGAAACTCGGGTGAGCCTTAAAAGAAACCGAAAATCTTGTTTTTATATATGGCTTGTTTTGAGGTGACACTTGCATGGAAACCTGGTATATGTTATAGTTTTTGAAGAAAAAACTGTTAATTTAATGGGGTTTGCAAAGATTAGCTATAGCCTATAGCTGTTGTTGTATCTTGTTTGTTGTTCTCTCACTCTCTGTGTGTGTGTGTCTTATCCATACCATACAAGAAACAAAGAACAAACAATGAATAGTGGATTTTTATCCTGCTTCTATTTTTTAGTCTTTATCTGGAATTTTGAAACCCTTCTTAATTGGGGGTTTATGGTTCACTGCTTTTTTCCTTCTTTGTAGGGGTTTTCTTTCTTTTTCACTCTTACCATATCGTACTCGAGGTGGTCAAT